TTACTCGCATTGTTTGATTTAACAGGTGCAGGAGAATTCCCCAGGCCATCTTGCAGGACTGGAGCCATTCTTTGATTTTATCATCTCAGTTTGCAACACTCGGCTGGTGAGTTTCCGTCTGCTGGGGGACGGATCAGGTGAGAGTGGCCTGGAGCTGATGGGGCTGTGTCGGTCTCCAACAGAACAGGGACAACGACACTCTGAAGGAACTGCTGAAGATCAACGTGCAGAGGCCTGTCAAGATGCTGCTGTACAGCAGCAAAACGCTGACCGTGAGGGAGACCACCGTCACGCCCAGCACCATGTGGGGGGGCCAGGGGCTCCTGGGTGTCAGCATCCGCTTCTGCAGCTTTGAAGGAGCCAATGAGAATGTTTGGCATGTATTGGTGAGTGCCCCGGTCAGTCTGAGGCTTTTTTTGTGGTCTCCCCCCCCCTCCCACATTGTCCAATGTCCTGGTGTATTTTACTTGCCGTTTTGAAACCAGGAAGTTGAACCAAACTCTCCTGCTGCCCTGTCTGGTTTGAGGGCTCACGTGGACTACATCATCGGAGCGGACACCGCCATGAACGAGGTACGCTCTTTGCTGTTCCATACTGGTGGTTAGATTCAAATCGACAGCAGGCTAAAACCATTGTTTGTTTGGTTGTTTTTTTTGGGACAGAGCGACGACTTGTTTTCGCTGATTGAAACGTACGAGGGCAGGGAGCTGAAGCTTTACGTTTACAACACAGACACGGACAACTGCAGGGAGGTGGTCATCACCCCAAGCCCAGACTGGGGTGGAGTAGGCAGGTAGGAGAAAGCAAACGGCGCCACAAAAGATGGGTTTTGCGGCTCGTCCAGGAAGTGGTCGCCACTGCAGCTTTTAAGACAAACAAAGAAAACCCTCGCAGCCTAATGATGATTAGGCTGGTTTTTATAAGTGGATTGGCTTGTTTAGGGTGACCGCCCTCAAGAATGATTCATGATTTCAAATCCTATGAATGAAATGGCAGCTGTCGAACTGGATTGCTTTATGTCTGTCTGTTCAGTTTAGGGTGTGAGATCGGCTTTGGATACCTGCACAGGATACCTATGCTGCCATTTACAAAGGGAAAGAAGAGCAGCTTCCCCGCACCGGCTCAGGATGAGGCAGCTTCAACGCTTAAAGACGGCTTCACAGAGGTAAACCAGTTTTCACTCGCCTGACCTCCAAATGGTGTTAGCTTTTGAATTAAATTGGCTTTGGTTACCAGGTCCCTCTCACTGCTGTCATTCCAACCGTTCCAGTGGTCGTGACATCCGTTTCTAACGGAGTGGACCGCTCTCTAAGCAGCTCCAGCCTGACCGACGTGCTGACCACTTCACCAAAAGGTGCTCCGCCATCAGGGACTTTAATACCTTCAGTCTTTAGAATAATGCAGTAAAGTGAAATATTAGTGGCAGCACAAGAAAAATGATTGAGTTACTCACCGTAACAGACTTACCCGTGTCGTAATGTTTTAATTGTGAATGACATTCAGATTTTTCTTCTTTAGGAGGTCCTGGTGTATCAGTGCCCAGCCATGTGACCCAGCCACAGAGTGTCCCACAGGCTGTTAGCGCCGCTCCAACACTACCAGGTTTATGCAGATGACAGTCTTTAACTGTACATTTATGTTTTAAAGGAGAAGAAAATCCATTTTCATTTGAAAATGATTTCATTCTTCTTGCTCAGGCTTAATGCAACTTCCCGGAGGTCTTCCAGCCTTTCCTAACATGCCAAATCTAAATGTCAGCCACGTTCTGTCCCCTGGAGTTGGGTTACAACACACAGGTATGGCTTTCCTACAGGGAGTACTGCTATTACTTACTATATTAAACAAAACAAAAACAAATGTAGAGCTGACACATCTCGGTCTTAAGTTTGAGGAACTTTGTAAATGTTTGTTGTTGTACACTTGTCCCCTAAGCATCTATATTTCTAGAATACCAGGCATTACAAGAATGAACTTCACCCACTTTTGGCTGGGGACTTCCGAGATATTCCTCCGGTTGATTTAACCAATAAAACTCACCCTTTATTTCCACATCTGGACAGATTCTGATGTGGTTCTTATTTAAGTGATTCTCCTGTGGTCCTACAGCGAAGTTAACAGCTTGTAGAAAACAACTGTGTTTGCTGATTGGACAGAGGGTCGAATGTTGGACAAATAAAATAGCAGCATTAATTACTTAAGAATTCATTAGTATGACTTCAAGATCTGTAAGCCTGCTGTTGAATATTAAGCAGTTTCAGGACATAACTACTAAGAAAAAACTACTCGTGGTCACTGAGGAACTCTTGAAAATGTTAAAGATTCAGTTTAAGGTTTACTTGTGTTTTACTTAGAACTTTGTAATAAAGCTTTGGGTGAAATAGTGTGCTGTTCTTTCCAGGTGTTTCAAAGCTTCCTCCTCTGAACCTGCCTGGTGCAGTCCCCGGTGTTCCTCCACCCGTCACCGCTTATGAAGAGCCAGTGATTACACACAATCCCACACGTTCCTGTTCCACCACCCAACTGAACAGTTCACTGAGCCCAACACCTGCAGCAACCTGTGACTCCATAAACATCCCAGTGTCTGTGGACTCCAGCTAATACCACCTCACTCAAGTCCATTTAAAAAAAAAAAAAAGAAAAGCCACCAAATCTCTTATTCTGTCATTTTAAATGTGCACATGAACTCCAGGAGGATGCTACATCTGAAATGCAGATTAGGTTTAAATGCAAACAACAAAACAAAACCTTTTCACTTTAACCCTCCAGCTGAGTTCAACCAATCCGCACAAAATGAAATACAATTCAAGCACAGCGATTATGCATTTCAACTTACCTTAAAAACCATAGGTCATAAAAATGTGGAAGACTGGTTACTTCGGTGTGTACACCATTATCGTTTTATCTTCTCGGGAAATTTACTCAAAAGGAGTTCAGAAGGTGAAGCTTTCACCTTAAGTGGAAAATCGCTTCCTTGCAGCATTGTCATAAAACAACTGTTTTGTACAAAAAAAAGAGTAAATAAGTGCAATGTTATTACCTGGTTTTACAGATATTTTCTCTGTCATCCTTCTGTCCTTTCATGCTTCATCATGTGCATCCTCTGTACCACGAAAAGCCAGAGGGAGACAGCACAATGCCAAAATACAAAAAGGTGGTCGACCTCAGGTTTTACGGGTCCATTATCAGATCCTGGTCTATGAAACCATTCACTGAATTTCCTGGCATTTATTATTCACTCTTAGCAGAACTGTACAATTTGTACCCAAAGTGGAACATACAGCCCTTTTAAAAAGTAAGAGCAACACAGCAGCAAAATGAAAACACTCCAGGAAACTCGTGTTACGTTGGGAAAACTTTTAACTCTTTGTACATGTTACTGCTGAAGCTCAAAATTTTGAAAATTTGCCTATACAGCATGTACAGTTTCCAATTCTGTTAATATTCCTGAATAGGGTTTTATACATGTATCTTTTTTTTCTACTTTTGGTTACTTTGTGCATTAAACATGTAAGATTGCTGCTCCAACCTACATTACACTAGATGTCACTTTTATGCTACACGTTACATTCTCATGGCTAAGTAGCTCAAATTAAAGCCTAACATTTGTGGAAAAACAAAAAATTGGTTCCAAAAAAAAAAAAGTGAAATCTCTGTAGTTCTAATTAATGACGGTCTTCTCCTCACAGTAAATGAACTTCTAGCAGCTGAATAATTTGCATCCTGGCAGGACCATGTTATTTTACCTAAATGGCAGGCTGCAAAATCTCCCCTTCAGCCCTTTAAGGCTTCATCCATCTGCAACATCTCAGAGTTCAGTCACATTTTCTTCAAGGTACAAAGTCAGTTTCAGTGCTTTTGTCGGACCCTCAAAACAATCCTTTTACTCGTGTCCTTTGAATCATCCCTTCACTCTTCGTCCTCTGATGGAGTCCTGGTTAACGTGTAGGAGAAGGTCAGAGGAGGCCATTAGAAACGCCCCCCCGCCTTCATCTGTGTCCTGCTCCTGCCGTCGCTGGCCATTTCTCCTCTCACAAGTCAAAGCCTCTGGAGGAGCGCTACAGGCACACCAGTTATCAGTTTGCCCTTCTGTCATAATTAAAAACTGTCAATACGAGATGATGCTGGAGGAGGCTGGTCCAGAGCTGGCGGCACTCATCTGCAGATTTCCAGAGGAGCTTGATCTTCGCATGTGAGGGAGCAGATAGGGGTCGCTTCCCATCTGGTGAACATCAATCCGGTCCTCCTTTCTGTATGCCAGGCACCGCCTTATGAAGGCCTTAAGGGAAGGAAATGGTGTTCAAAATAAGTCAACTTTAAAAATATTTGAAAAAATCATGTCAAATCAAAGAACCTTTGTAGGTAAACAAAACCTTACCTTTGCTTCAGTACTGGCAACAGGCTTGACGGGGAACTGGACCTCTGTAGCTTTGAGTATTGTGTTCTCCTGCAGGATGTCCTGCTGTGACTGGTTGTGGCCAAATGGCTGGGGGCAAAAATGAGATAAAGAAGGCAGTGCTTCATCTCCAGGCAGTAAATACAAAAGCAAACTGAACGTTAAAGAACAATCTGTTGTCCTCTTCTTACCTTCCTCCCGTACAAGCACTGGAAAAAAATAACACCCACTGACCAGACATCCACCTTATTGGAAATCTTTGGAGGTTCTTTCCCAACCACAAAGCATTCAGGAGGCAAGTACCTGAAGACAGGACACAAAAAAAATAATAGAAAAAAGTTTCAATGGTTCAACAATTGGTTTGTGTTCCCCACCTACCCCCGACCCCTTTAGTTAATCATCTATACAGCAGGTACTTCGCTGATCCTCACCAGTAGGTGCCTGCACCCTGTGACGTCAGGTCCATCCCGTCTACACCATAGTTGTCGTCGTCCATGATTTTGGAAAGACCAAAGTCGGTGATTTTGATTTCCCCACAGGCTGTTCCATCCACCAACAAGATATTGCCTGAAAGCCAAAGTGTGTTAAGTCAGCACGACGACAGCCGTGGCGTGTTTGGCCGTTCGCCTTCCAGGGCCACCGCAGGTTTACCTGGTTTCAGGTCGTAGTGGATGATGGGGGGTTTGATTTCGTTTAAGTATTTTAGTGCGTTCACAATCTGCATGACAATGGACCGTGCCTCTTTCTCAGACATGAGCTTATGCTGCTTCAAGTAGAAATCCAAGTCGTTTCCGTCGCAGTACTCCATAACCGTGCAAAACCTGCCGAACAAAGAATGGTTTGAAAAAGAAATTGCAGCGCTTGTGTATGCAAACGGAACTAAAAGCCAAGGCAAGGAGAGACTGACGTGTCTGTGTCCAGCGAGAAGTAGTCGTAGAGTTTGACAATCCTTGGATGATCCAACTCCTTATGTATTCTGTACTCTCGACACGCATGCCTGTGGGCAGGGTGATATTTATGCTTTCATAAGTGGGAGCTTTTTCCACAACTTTCCCTGTAATTTCTGGTTCATTTGAACACATACTTGTGATAGTTCTCCTTTTTCTCTTCTCTCCAGTTCTTGTTGAGTTGGTGGATCTTCACGGCAGCATATCGTTGTTCAATCAAGTCAAAGGCCTGTGCGACACATGGAGGAAACGGTCGGCTTACGAAGCAAAGCGCCACCCACCGTGGTGTTCTACCAGCAACAACTTACCTTGTAAACTTCACTAAAGCCCCCTCGCCCAAGAAGGTGTAGGAGCAGGTATCGTTCGTTCAGTGTTGGGTGATCTTTAAATCTTTACAGATGGAGAAAGAAAAAGAAAAAAGAGGTTAGTGGTGGTACTTTGGCTTGGTTTCACTCTCATATCTGTCAAAAAGTTGATCCAGACTCACTGGGAGCTGTCTTCATTATTTATTCTCTTCAGCTCCCGAATGTGAAGGTTGCGCACCCTCTCCAGACGCTCCAGCTCCGCCTGGATCTCAGCTTCTTCCTATAAATGATTCAAACACATAAACACAGCAGTGCAAACATGAACTTCAGAGTGCTGCCTACAAAGAGAGTTCTTCAAAACCTTGTTGTACACAAATGACTTGTTGTAATTTAGGCTTTAACGGCAACTTGACACTGTTTATGAGCATCCTGTGATGCATTTTTACCAATAAAACCAAGAAAAACATTTATACGTTCAGGTGCTCGCTGTCATTGAGGCAATTCAGACAAAACAAATATTGTTACCCAAAACGAAAGAAATAAAGACATAAAATCAGAAAATAAAGTTAACATTAAGATTTCAAAGCGCCCTTTTATTTTGTGAGTTTTGGATGTCAAACTTTAAACTAGATATTAAATATTAGATGTGGTAAACAAACCTTCTTCAAATGTCCAAGACGCAGTTTAAAGATCTCTTCCTGTTCGTGGTACTCTGCTAAAGTCAGCCTTAGCGAGAGATAAAAGAAATATGAGAAAAAATTAAACAAAAAGCTTAAATGAAAAGGACCCCAACGTACTGCTTTGATTTTTAACATCACGCTGCCACAGACGGCTAAAGTCTGCTTTACAACCCAAAGACAGTGTGTAATTACTGTTAGCACAGCGAAGCAGTGAAATATACAAACGGGCATGGACGTACAGTTGAGGTAGGCTGGGTTTTAAAAAGGGATCGCTTTCTGCTCCATTCACGGCCTTGGTTTTGCGTTGCTTTGGCTCCGAGTTTGTGGTTGGTGCTTGGGAGTTAGTGGAGGTTGGAGGTTTCCTCTTGGCCAGAAGTTTCCTCTGCCTCTCAATGTCTTCTCTCTGTTGGTTTATCCACTCTTGCTGCCTGGTGGAAACAGACCAGAATATTTACAAAATATGTCCTTTTTATTCATGAATACTATTTACATAATATTTATATTAATAAATTCATGCCTCTAAATCGGTCATCTACAGCATGACCCATTACAGGAGCTTTACGGTTACTGAATGCGTAATCATATAATTATAAAAATGAAAAAACCTATTCCCTGCCGTTTTTATCAGTTTACAAATTTAAAAGAATGTATCTTAAACTAAACTGAATTTAATATACAAGAAAGTCACTGATAAATACATATGAAAAACTCACTTCACTAGATTCTGAAAGGCGTAGCCATCCGTCCATTGCTCTGTGAAAGAGGCCCCGTGTCTCACTGTAGTGAAATGGCCTAAACGTAGTCTGTCCTGCATGCTCTTCTCCCGGCAAGCTTGCTTCTCCTGGGTGCTCTGAAGAATACACATTTAGATCAAGATTTGCGTTTTATCATTTGTTAACAGGAAAAAGGAAAATTAAAATAATAAAAAAGATATCAAACTTACCTTCTCTATGAGCAACTTCTTGCTCATTGTGATGCATTTATTCAAGCGTTCTTTGTACTTTTCAAGTAATTTTTGTTGCTCATCTATCTGCCTCCTAAGATCACAGTTTGCCTATAGAGCAGAAAAATATTAAACAGAGCGTGCATTTTAATTTAGAACTATTAATTAAAAACATGTAGAAGAACCTTTTCTTTCGAAAGACTGAGTACTCAATAAAACTTTCATCTACTTTTTTGCATCGAGGTGACATTGCAGAGCAGTCAACAGAGCCACTTCATTCTTACCCGTAGCAAATCATCTATTCTGCCCTCCTTCTTCTCAAGGTCTAGATTCTTAGTGCTTTCAAGGGCGGCCAATTTCAACACTGTAAGGTCGGTCTAGAGTGGAGGAGAAAAAAAGAAGAAAAAAGAAGGTAAAACCACGATCATTTCAACACTTAAATTAAATGCTGACAAAAGGCCACTGGTAGCAGCCCTCACCTGAACAAATTTGACTGCCATTTGCTTTGGATGTGCCATGTGGTCCCCAAAAGACAGACTAGTAGGAGATGAGCTATTTTGTCTAACCTGTAACACAAGTCATTCATTTTGAGATTTCCCACCAGAAAATGGAGCAATAAAAAAAGGAGGTCTGCATCCCCGGTCTTAGTGTGGCTTACAGTAGCGCCCTGAGCCGAGTGGGAATGTGAGTTCTGGGGTGAGCGGAGCACTGGGGGGAGACCCCTTACAGGACTGGACCCATTCCCTCCCTGGAACTAAGAGGTGAAGAAAGGACAAAAGTTTAACATGCGTTAACAACTGATCAGCCCCAAAAGAGAAAACACAAGTGTGACTTACATCAAAATAATCACTTATTTTGGGTCCTCGCACTGCTGATTTTCCTGTCAAAAGAAGGGACAGTTTTGAGGATTCATCCAAAATAATCAAGAAGTAATGAAGAAAAAAAAAACATGACCACATTACTACCTTGACTGCTCTCTGACTGGATCTCAGGTTTCCTTTTTCTCCCTCTGGTTGTTTCAGACTGTTTCTTTTCTGGAGTCTGACAGAGTATTTTACATTTTCAATTAAGAGCACATTATAACATCATTAATTCATTATGTTAATATTATCATTAGTCACTGCCATTTCAACTATGGAAACTATTCTGTTTCCACTCAATAATTATGTAATAAGAGTAAAGCGGATCTAGGCTTCTGCAGATTTTAACTGGTCCAATAGCAATTTAACACCAAGCAAGTCAGAGCACAGAGACTAAAGCAGGGGCTCTTTTCCAAAAAGAGGACATATACCCACCGAATAAGCAGGGGAACTTCCTCGTTTCACATCTGACCCCTTTAAGTAAGAGAAGAGAGGAATATTTTTAAAAGACAAAAAAACATTCAACTAAAAAATGACGAATACATCCTGTTTAAAAGTTATTGACAATTACATCTGCACTTGATTGTATGTTGCTTTTTGTAAAGAAAAAAAGCAAGTTATGTTATGCTTATCTTATGTTTTAAGATACATGTAAAACAAAACAAACAACAAAAAAGTTTAACGTTAGAAATGGAGCAAGGAGTTTCGATAACATTTTTGGTCAGAATTCCTGTTGTCCCCCCCATTGATGCAGTATGCAGGCCATGGGGCTTGGTGCAGAACAGTACTTTTTCCAGTTATATACTGCTGTCAGAGGGAAGGACTGGCATTGTTATTACTGATGGACAACTGGAGAGATGATGCAGCTAATTACAGAATTGCGCATATACAATGGCCACTTTCAAATGTACTTGAAGCTGAACAGGGAGTAATTAGACAGGCTGATGGGGAGAGCTGTGCTGACACACACGAAAATGAGAGCCAACTTCAGGCAGCTGATCAGCGGATTCCCACAGAGTGAACGTGTTATCGTGGAGTTCTGAGGCCAGGTTTGCTCACAGATGGCACACCTGGCCTTATGCTATTCAGTGCAAACACATGCTCATGTCCTGTGACATGACAGGAGATCAGAGGTGAAGCACAAGATGCACAAAAAGCCCGACAGACAACCGCCACCCATTAGCCGTTCCAGTTCCATAACAGCAAGACATTCAGCAAGGAAAAGTTTATCTGAACAGTTGAAATCATTCATAGCCATGTTATCAACTCAGGTTTTAAAGCCAAACAAGTGATGTGAGCATTTACCTCTGACTCCTTATCACTCAAGGAACCCAGACTTCCAAAACTATGATTTGAACATTCATTATTGGTCAGTCCCTGGAGGGGAAACAGGAAAACAGTAAGGTCAAAATAACTCTGTACTTTAAAAAGAAAAGACAGAATTTGACTGGTTACTGCATTCACACGTTGACGCACTTTGGTACCCCCACTTGTGCTGCAAGTACTGCCCCCCGTGCTGCCACTGACCCCGCCCATAAAACGTGCCTCCAGCAGCTCCTGTCTCCGGGGGTCCAGGCTGTGCAGCTCCTCCATGGTGCCTGGGTGGATTAGCAACAATTCACAGGGCATTTCAGTTATACAAAAATCCACTTAATTGAAGCCTTGGGATGCTCAGTCAAGAGCAGATGACACGGTTAGCAGTGAGATTAAGAGCAGAGTCATGTGACTTAAACCATCAGAATACACATGCAGGGCAAATTTGAACTGCCATTTCTTTCCAAGACAAGTTTCACTCCATATCTATTTAGCCCAGAGGATATAATAAAATTTTCATCATGCTTACAAGTGTAAAACCTGCAGATGTTCATAGTGTCATCTTAAATCCTCCCTGAAATATTTTCACAAATTCATTTTCATTTCATTTCTGTGCCAAAAACATTATTATCAGGAGATTCCAGGGGGAATATTTGCATTGCTAGCCAGTGTTGAATACTGTACTCCGGTGGGAATGACACAGGAGCTCCGTGAGCGTCGGTGTTGCAGCAGACACAGAGGTGCCTCCTCACTTTCCCTGCGCTTTAATGAGACAACCATTTTGAAAGGCTATGGAGCGTTTGCACTGCATCCAAACTAACAGTGGGTAGGGATTTTCAAAGGACAAAAATCATACAGAAGACATGCTCAAAATAAGTCTAGCTAGAAATAAAACGGACACCAAAGACTAGTAAAACATATAACAGAGAAAACTAACGCAGAAACCGCTCATAGTTTTACATTTCTTCACTGCGACAGATACCTGTCCAGCTAGTAAAAATAACTCAAATAAACGTGGTGCAAAATGGTGGGTTACTGAAGGGCAAAAAGTGATTATGCAATACACACAGAAGGGGGTTATTTTCAACCTGTCTATTGCCCCAATTCTCCTTAGATAAGACATGATTTCATCCAGTTCTGATTAAAAATGGCACAACTAGGTACCAAGAGCTCCACATTACTTAGTGATGACAGACATGATCAAACAAAGAAAAAGACTTCCTTAAACTGAGGAAAGCAATATTTGGTATTAAGAGTGCGTCTCCTGTCAAACGTAAAAATACAAATGAGTGTTCAATTGGTTTCCAGGGATGAAAAATAGAATAAAAGTGTACACGTATGAAAAAGGTTAGTATAAAAGACTTCAGTCACCTCAGACCAGAGCCGAGTCTGATTTAGACCTGATAAAATGGGTTGGTCTGCATTTGTATCTCACCTTGCTGTTAAGTTTCACTTTCCAGTTTTTTTTTCATGCTTTACAAAATCCAACTAAAGCAGAAACTGTATGCTAGTCATATATTTTTTCAAGTGCACCAGCATGCCGCACATAAACCAATACCCTTGTTTCCATGTATGTTAAAGTTATATTGCAAAGGTTCTATCTAACTATAAGCATTAAATATTAACAAACAAAAACAGCTTCATGCTCGGCAACAACACACTTCTAATATAACAGGGTCCTTGAAATGTCAGGCACAACTATTGGTAGTTCTTTAAAAACACCATTAATCTTAGCTTTTTGGATACAATATACAAGTAGTCTTCTGTATCTATAGATAAGCCGTTTTTAAAGTTACAAGTGTTGAAAATTACGTCAAGCAATCAGCATCCATCTACAAACGAATAAACAAAAGCAGCTTATTGCTTGTCCCCATAACAGGTCTCTGTGCTCCAATCACATCAGCAGCGTTTCATTGTAAGTCCCAACCTCATGAAAATACCATCTGCTTTGATGCATGTGAAATCATTACAGAGCAAGAGGGAAGCTTCCGTTACCCATCAATACCAACTGAATACACAGCTAAATATGTAGGCCTATAAGGAGCACAGTTTATTTCCAGCCTCTTCTCACCTGTTTTCACCTTTCACCTCCACAGGCCTGAGTGGCATCATCCACAGGCTGCAGTTATTGTGGGCACTCGAACAAACTCAGCGAGAAGCTGTGGCCTTAAAACACTCCCTGCTTCTGTTTTCAGAGCTTGATGATGTGCACCCACAACCCTAAATCACCGCTCACCAAAATGTTTATGCCAGTTTGACACAGTAAATACACAGAGCTGAGCTGCGTTTCCCCAGGGATTGGCTTCTGTTTAAAACATGAAGGCCTCCGTGCTTAACTGTTATCTATTTTCAAGCCCCTGCAGGAGCAAATGGTTGAACCCTTACAGCTCTTGCTGTGGATGTCATTTTAACTCCATGCTGCTCAGCAGAGTAACCACCTGTTTATGGTAGACACTTTAAGGGTGTTCAAAAAAATCTCTCGTACATGCTGGGTGCACTCCGCTCACTAGTGCTCATTCAGGAAAGGTTAAACTTTTAAAAGGAAACTGAGCAGGAAACAGACTCCCAATTTGGAATGATTACAAGTGGCATGCTGATGTAGGCAGCCATCACTTCTGTCAGCCAGCAGAAAACCGGTATCACAAAGAGAGGAGGAAGCACCATGAGTGCCCAAAGCTGAGCTAAATGCTCCATCAATGCAAAATCAAGCAGAAACTACTGAGAGGCAAGGAGCAAGCTGCACTGCTTTACCAGCTTGGATCCCATTGGTGTCCCTACAGGTTTATGGGGCACAAATATCTTTACCAACTTAATATGGGTATAAGATCAATAAAGTATGTCAACCACCCAAATACGTTTGGATCTAAAGGAAAGTGGCATCTTTCAGGAAAACTATTTTTGAATACCACACTCGTTTTTAGGCTACAGGGCGATTCCGAACCCATCTGTACCGTTAAGATAAATAGCCCCAGCTCCACATGCACGTACTCAGAACATTAATGATATGTAAACACAAAGATCGGCACACAAAGGATTGCTAACGGGGCGATGCACACCTTTACATTGCTTGCTACGAGTTCAGTGATATAACCACTTCCAGAAACTGCTTGATTTATCTACTTGCAATTTCAGAGTCGATTCTACAATCATCGCTGAGTGTTTTCCCTCGTCAGCCCCGCGTTTCATGAGGGATGCACTGAAACACTAACGTTATGCTCCGGAAAACATTTATAGCCATCAAGCCCGTATTTGTCGTAGGGTTTAAACACTGGTCTGAGCACTAAAAACACGGTCATGTCTTCGATGCTACTAGCTAGCCAAAAGGGCTCAATGGACTTTGGAGCTGACGCGTTACTGTAACGTAAGCTAGCAAGCAGCTTTCGCCACCAAGATTTGCTTGGTTATTTGCTACCATTTCGTTTCGTTTTGCGTAAAAATACCCAAACGGCCACGTAGACAAGACATATGCGTTTCGAGACGTGTTACAATACCTTACTAAGCCTTCACCACAGCCGTGGTATGCCTCTCAAAGCACAGTCCGTGTTGGGGACGTGGAGAGCTGGGACCAAAGATGGCGTCCCCTCCAAACTTCCACTACTTTGGATACTCATCAATCTACTTTTTGTGTGTATGTACAGCAGCACGCACAGTCACTCTCAAATAGAATTTGAGAAATTAACCGACTGGCATACCGCATTTTCTTTTACATGGGTGCACCGACTGCCATCAAATAAAATTGGGCAATTATTACGTTTTAGGGCACAAACCTCTTCACACCTCAGCAGAGCGTCCGGGCTGCGGGGCCACCTCTCCGTCTTCAAGTGGTTGTCTGTGAAACGTCACGCAGCGTGTGCAAAATTGTTATCGCGAGGACGATTCTTTTCTCTTTTCCCTTCTTCCTAAACACCCATGACATGAAAATCTCTGACAGACACACGTATATGACTTATATCACCATAGAGGTTCGATGGAAAAAGACACCGGAAATCCAAGCCATAGTTCTAAACTCAGAAAACTAAATCATTAGTTGCTTCATGTGTAGGAAATATCATCATCAATGTCATGAGGTATGTCATTTAGAAAAACAACCATAAAAACGTATTCGAGAAAGTTCCCGAAAAAAAGAAAGTATTTTCTTGTGAAAAAATTAGCATCTCCGAAAACAAATAAAAAAGTTAAATACTCCAAAACAGAAGAGATCAGGAAATTCAGGTGGAATTTACGATACAATCTTGACAACTGAAATGGTATTGAGATTAAGTTTTTCATAAAATGTGCTTTTTTTTTTTTTTTTTTTTTTTTTTTTTTTGGGGGGGGGGGGGTCTTTGTGAAATCTTGTGCCAGCTGTTTTTAAAATGCAGATGTGCCTGAATGCTCCCATCCTTTTAACGTGACTACTGTTTCACTGCATAGCCAACAGAATTATATCTGAATATTGGACCACAACTCATTGGACACGTTTCACATTTATTTCAAATTTACCTTCCTTATCAACATAACTTATTAAAAACACATAAAGATGCAAAGGTTTGTGATGTGTTAGGATGATGAATGAGGCTTCCTGTATTTGCTCTGCATCCACACCCGCCGCATCACCACTTTCTTTCCTCGGTTCACTTGCAGTCGTCGGTCTTCCAAATTCTGAATTTCCTCCAATCCTGCTTTGGAAAATAAATCATGAACTTCACCTAGGAAAAAAGAGACAACGTTTATTTTTTTAAAATACTGTGCTCCTTTGAGTCCATGTTCCCTATTGCTAAAGCTTTCATTTTATCTTTTGCTGGATTAACATTGAGGCCGAAGTCCTTTTAAAAAATGTTGCATCCAAGAAAAACAAAAGAAACACTCATTTTTTTATGCATTGATTTATTGGCCTTGAGTAGGTCAAAGCGGACACAGAAACGTCAGAAATCATTTGAATTGATAAATGAATTTACAATGTTCAGCAATGCAAAAAGTGAGTTTCATAAGTTAGTTACCTCTGGATTCTTATCATGCCAAAAGGGTTAAAATGGCTAAGGTGTTAAAATGCATCAGGACCTATTAACTCAATCTACAACAATAGTTTTTACCTTTTGTGAAGAAATATACACAGGTTCCATCTCCTCGAGTGTAGAAATTCTGAGATAAACACCGTCCTGTTTACAGGAAAAAGTACATTCAAAACGCTTCAATAAATAGACTATAAGATCTGCAACACACATCTAGTCATTATGAGCTGAGACCTCACCCTTCTTAAACCTGAGCTGAGAGAAGTCATATCTCCCATAATCACGGAAGAGGAACATCCCTCCATGTTTCAGGTAAGGAGATAATCGGTTCACAACTCCTTGGACTCTGTCAGTGAAATATAAATCATTTAAATAGGATTTTTCTTTGGCAAGTTTTCAGCTAATAAAGTTCCAACAACCGTGGACAAAATGTAGGCTGGAAAGAAATATTTTCACTTAAACATCAAGACAGAGAACATAAACCAGTGTAAAAGCTAAAAAGTACTGAATGTGTTCGATTACTTTAGCTCAAAACTAAAATGTGCATGTTTCCATTAATCACTTGCTATCAGACAAAGATTCACATATCACACTTGACTGAATTTCTATTTAGGTTTTACAAATGTATTCAGACAGTGCCTACCTGGGAGCTAAGAGGGTTTTATAGTTTGTGGAGAAGATGATAAATGAGATCAAGCACTCTCATCTTTTTGCTCTAAACTTCACCTACCGATCTGGATGGATGGATGAGAGCACAAAGACGGCTAGAATGGCGTCCACGCTCTGCTGAGGAAAGGGAAAGGAGGCCACCTCCTCACAAATGTCATAGACAAAGGCATGACACACGGAGTTGTCGTAATCAGGATGGTCCTATAAGAGGAAAATAAATCAGGCCATGTTCATCCAAGTGTCACTGTCATCCAAAGCCAGCTGCCAAATTTAATTTCAGCCTCTATATAGACATTCTTCTTTTATCTTTTATTTCTTTCTTACATTTCACCTTGTGATCACTACCTTTCAGGCCACTTATAGGCACATGTTACAGGGAATTATGATAAAGTTGCATTATAAATCTCAGTCAATACAAACACAGTGATACACAAGATCTAATTTCAGATGAAACAATATTCCTTCGACTGTGTGGGAGATTATTAAACTTTTCAAGTGATCTGTAGTATCAGTTGAAAAGTGAAACTAAAGAAAATTATCTACAATCACAAGCACATGTAGCCATATATGAAAAAGCGTATTGTGGGAAACCTTTGTTAATCATTACAATTTTAAATTGTATTATAATATTACTACGATATTGTACTGTAGTAATAAGTCTTAATATATTGAGTATGAATATTTCAGAAGACTTGGTACTCTGTGATTATGTAGTGATTTGACTGTAAAAATATTCTACAGGTTTTAGTGACGATCAAATAAAGTGATTTTAGAATTGTTTTATTGATAGCATTTCACTGATTCACACTTGATTGATCATACCAACAATACTAACCTTAACCAGCTGAATGGCTCGCGGGGAGAAATCACAGCAGTATAAAAATGAGTTTGTTCCCCTGTGAAACAGAACAGCCAATTTGACCCGGAAAACATCCCAAAACAACCACCACATGAACCAGTGCTGCTTTAATGTGAGGCTGACCAGTAATACCTTGCAGAGCAACTGCCATTGTGTGCTAGTCTTTTTCAATAAATAAATGGAAAGACAGAACAAAATACTCACTTGATGCTATTGACAATAGGAAATACACTGTTACCAACTCCACATCCAACCTATGAAGAGCAGATAACACAGATCTCTGTCAGGGTTAAAACACAGAACAACTGTCTTATGGTCCACATTATACATAATTATGATATTGCTGAAACGGTATATTAACCTCCAAAATCCTGAAAGATGCATGCTGTCCAGGAAAAGAAGGGGTCTTTAAGGCGCTGTCGTTATGCTCCCACACTGCCTTCTGAGCATAACCGGCCTCTGTTTTTCTGTGGAAGTGAAAGGGGTCACTGTGCTGATGGTGTCCCTTCTCTCTGTCCAGTCCGGGTCCTTGTAGCTGAGGGACAACTGGCTTCTGTTGACTATGGCGAGTTTCTGTGGCCTGGATTTCTGCACACAAAGGGAGCAGTTCTGGGAACTCTAAAAACAGCCACCTGCGATCTTTGAAGAATTTGTCCTGGTGCAGCTCATAAAACTTGTCCCAATATTGGGAGGCATCTTGGTCAAATTTACCTGAGTAAGCGGAATTAAAAAGATAGTTCAACAATTATGTCTCTTGTTAATCCAATCATGTGTAATTGAATGAGTTAAAGTATCTGGAGGGAATGCATTCATGCCTTGTTCCTTCAGAGGAATCTGTACGCTGGCATTTTCCTGAGCCTTCTGCTGTGCGTTTTCTTTGTCCTCGTCTGTCCACTCCACGTGATCCCTGAAAGAAAGGGCGTTGCACAGGCGGCTTTTGTTCTATTATAAGAAATACTATCAACTCAAACCACAATCAAACTCCTCTGAAAGTAGACAAACCAACAACACTAACATGTTTTTAGGCAACATACCACATGTTGTGCTTGAAAATGTCATCTGGATTGGAAAGGATCCGTGAACCCAGCGGAGCTGAAGGCCTTGATTGGCTGCTCTTCAATCTCATGGACAATCTGACGGCAGCTGTAGCAAGTTTAGCTACAGAGAAACTCCACTTTTTGTGCATTTAGTCTGTCATGACAAGAGGGAACATTGTGAAGCATAAAATCGTATATGAGGATAGTTGGGTAATTTGGGTAAATCAATGTAAGGTTTACACACAAGACAAATGGAATATTGTTTTTGTAACGTTTATTTCAATGGTAATTTGATATATTGACATTGGGAACTGTACAGAAATATTGCACAGTAGCTGTTAGGGACATATCAACATTTCCAAAAACACTACATTAGAGAAATTCCAAGTACTTTGACTGTCTGACATGTTCCCCTACATACAAGGGTCTTCTGTGTTTTCCTGTTGTTTCAATACAGTACGTTTTAAATGGTACTTTCAGGAAGTGATCCATAACTTTTTGAAAAGCTGATGTCACTCACTAATGTTAAAAAAAAAAAAAGGGGGGGGGGGACTAAAAGTTGACCGCTGGTGTCCGAAGGGGGGCGCTACAGTTCAGAGGTGGCTGTCTCACGTGTAGTTTCTCAGATGAAGAAGAGTGTTATGGAAACATGGAGCCATAGACGGGAACAGTAGCGCTAACAACAAAATAAAAAAAAACAGCGCTCATCGAAAAACATTCATTCCCACGATTAAGTTACGCTACTGAAAATTCCACCAGAGTTTCCTCATCCCAGTTACAGTCTCCCAGGTCGGAGGGCAACACAGAAGTCTGAGCTAAGTTAACGACACGTTAAAGTCCACGCAGCGGCGTTAAATTGAGCTAGCTGTGAGATTTCCCGGAAAGGTCGCACTTAGGAGAGCAGTCGCGGCATTTGGGGAGCCGGAGGACGGTGCGGGGCTCACCTGACTTTGGGGAATGGGGTGGTGTTGTGGTCAGTTGGCGCTGCCGTCCTCTCCTGTCACGCCGTGAAGGCAACAGCGCGTGCAGAGCAGCAGCGCGTGCAGAGCAGGTCAGCTGCGCGTGCAGAGCAGAGCGCCGCCCGCCGATGGCGCCAAAGCGGAGACGGGGCAGCGCCAACGCCGCCGAGCTGCTGAGCCAGAGGAGCAGGGGGGTCGGGGACGCCGGGGCTCTGTACAGACACTGTCTGAGGCTCCTCAGAGGAATCCTCCTGCAGGTGATGGGAGGCACGGCGCTTTGAGGGGGGGGAACTGTAACCGACCAAACGCACGTTTGACCGCGTCGTGTCTGTCACTTTCTAGGAGGAGAGGAGTTTCGTCAAAGTGTGGAGCAAGACGTCAAAGTCCACAATAATGTACGAGAATGGAAAAGTCTACTTTGAAAATTACCAGAACTGCTACAGCTGGTGAGCTTAGACAGACAGACTTAAAATGCTCATTTTTTGTTTCTTTTATGGTCTGGAATGTTTGAATAATTTACAATAAATGTTGACAAATGAATCTCTCTATTTCAGTGTTCACGCTGAGCCACATGCTTTGTACAAATTGCCTAAGAGGTCCAGACATGAGAAAATTGAAGATGCATTGCTGTGTCAGAGCCCACTTGTAAGTAAAATAAAACCCCGTTTTCATCTAGTTTAATGTTTTCTGGGTGATTTGAAGTGGACAGCTCCTATTGTGGGTGTTCACATCTGGCATAAAACTGAATCTCCACATCAGCACTTGTGGTCTGATATCAGCTCTGTGTGCAAATTAGTCTTAGACTGACTCATACAGTTGAGAAGGAAGTTAGATCTCTGACTTATGTTTCTGCAGACTCATAAATGCACCGCATGACTATTCTGGCATCAGTTCTGCACATTTCATAACAGCTAGTTGATCTGCCTGCTCACATGGATCGATGAGTACTTGGCCACTCCTGAACGTAGCCTGACTGATTGGATTCAAAATGCATTTTTAACCCTGCGGCATTCTAAACACTCCACGGCAGATTGTTGTTTACTATATTAATTTCTTTATTGCTTGTTTGTTTTTCCCAGGACAAAACATTGTCCTCTCCCTCTGATCATAAACCCAGCTTCCTGGCATTGACAGCCAATAACTGGCTGTACCGCATCTCAGCTGACACAGGAAAAGAGCTGGAGAGAGTTTACCTCTCTCCAAATTACAAGTTCAGGTATACTTGACACTCTTTCAGTTAAGGCTGATTCTCTTTTTGTGTTTGTTTCTTGTGTTTTAAGCTTTACAGCATGCTGTTATTTTGTAGGTATCTTGGCTGGGATTCTTATCAAGAAATGTTTTATGTTAAATCTGTTCAAAACAAAGAAACATCTTTAGCAAGACAGGTAATAATGCATAATATAATCAATGCAATTTTAAGATGTGTACCTTTCACAGGTAACCCAAGAACCTAATGTGTTCGGTCACAATAATACTTTTTATTTTTTATTTTTGAATAAACAGCTCAAGGAAATTAGTGTTAACTGTTTTTCTCCTTCCATAGGCAGGTATCTCCCAGAATGTAGTGATGCACTTGGGAGTATTTAATATTTTCCCTTTGCAAATTGTGGGCATTTTGGAAATCAACAAAAAGGTGTGCAGCTTTTTTTTGTGTCATTTTAAGTTTTCCCAAATGTACCTCTGGGAGTTATAGATCACTAAAATGTAACCATTTTTCTTCCAGGTGTTTGGGAGTGGCGTTACCGATGTGGTTCTGTCTCAAGGTGTCCTTGTAGTGTCTCACAGCAACAAGTCAGTGAAGCTCTACAGCTTTGAGCACATTGTCCAAAGAGTATGTATTTGTTTATCCTGAGGGAGTTTTCTTCCCAATTATAGAATTATTGGTATTTTATATTTTAAACTGTGCTTTTATGTTTGTGGAAAACATTCATTCTGATTTACTATGGCGTCACGAAGCATTATCTCTGTTTTCAGTACCTAATAGAAAAGTTAACTCTTGGAAAGCCGAGTCCACTTCTTGAGAACAAAATAGTTGGAGATGTTCCATCTGGTATCCCAGTAAATATCCAGATCACAGGTGAGTCATTTCAGAGTGCAATGCAAAAATATTTTCTTTAAGAAACATTAATGATAGAATACTGATAAATAAGTCTGTTTAGCACCTTTAAGTGAGAATTTTATTTTTCTTCAATCCCCCTTTTATACCACAGATCGTCTGCCAGTGCTTTTTGAGGTGTCATGCTCTAATAATGGGGTCCAGATTGGAGGCTACCCTTGGCACTACATTTACACTCCACCGCATAGAAATCACAGGGGGACTCACCACATCTGCTCTCTCAAGGACAACACCATGGTATATCAAGAGAATCCTCTAAATCTCGGGGCTGTAGCCTCACTCACTGATACCACAACGGTAGTGATGATGATGATGATGATGGTATTTTAATGTGCCGTGGAGATGTGGCATGTTTCCACATCTCCACGGCACATTCCACTCACCTTCGTCTTGATCTGTTGAAATCTGAAAGATCAAGAAGTGAGATCACAAATGAAGGTAACAGCGCAAGAAAAATTATGAGCAAAGAAATTCTTAACTTACTACAAAAATCATACAAATTAATAATCACCAGAGAACCAGGAGTTGCATTCTGTGCACTAAAATTAGTTCCTGATTTTTCTTTCAGTTTCCAAATATTTTCTTTCAAATTTTGTAGGAAGAGCTCTTTTAGTTTAGTTGAGCTTATTAGAGGTTAGTAGAACTTATTTTGATATAATTTAACATAGTTGAAACTTTTCCGAGCTAGATTCAAACCGATGAAATTCCTAATAGCTGCCATTAGGAATGTCTATGAAAACAAAATCGCCATAAAAAGCCTAATAACTCAAAAAGTTGAAGACATACCAAAAGATACAGCAGCTTTCTGAAGCAGCCAAATCATTGGACACCTCACTTCTGAAATCCATTGAAGCAAGTTGAGGTAGCAAGTCGTCATAAAGAGAAACAGGAACACCTATGATATGCTGTAAATACATTATTTTTGTTTATGCTCATCCATTTCCTTGTGACTTTCTAAAATTAGGCAACAAATGGAATACAAAACATGAACTGCTGCTCTCTAGAGAGTGATGGGATCTTCTTTCATCCAGACGACTCTGGAAGGATCATCCATGTTGGACCTACCACCATAAAGTGAGTCTCAGGCCAGTCTTGACATGTCATTTGACTGTAAACGTGCACTATGTTGTATCATTCGATCCTTTTTATGTCTCTTTTTCCCATCAAAGTGTCCTCAAAATCCTTGGTGAACTGCACGGTTCTTTACCATCAAAGGTAGTTGAGGATTTCTCTTTGACGACTGCTCGAAGGAACGTGAGTGTAAGGTCTGATGTGTATGCATGTGCCTTTGAAAGAGTGGTAGAGCAGAACTGATAAGTTTCTTAACGGCGCCTTCCATCTTCTGCAGCCTGCCTCCCAATTTACTGTTACCTCATCAGGCCGCACAGTTAAAAGAAGATTCAATCAGATGGATGATGACCCAAGCCAAGAGGTACCAGCGGGTTACTGTTTTCAGATGTGCTCTGCCCCTATAAGCACACAGTTTGGTCTGAATAGTTACATTAAAACGATGGATTACATGTTTTTTCATGAAACCAAATCTGGTTAAGTGACACCATCATGGGTTTTATAGGTGTAGATTTAAAAGCAAAGAGCTTTCCAGTGTCCCAGTGCTAACATTCATGGCAGCCTTATGATTGGGCAGACTTTTCGAATGGTGGAATTCGAGGATGAGCTTGACCTTCTGGTGGTGGTGTTAACAAATGGTGAGGAGGAAGAGGGCCGAGCTCACATTCGACTGCTTGACAACCAAACGGGACAGTTCCAGCGGCAGATCGATCTGGTGGAACCTTGGGATGAGGTGAGGATCCTCAGAGAGCGTCTCTAGTTTAGGCTGAACTCTGTGCTGGTGAATGATTGGGTCTTCTGTGCTCCGTTTCAGACGTATCGACACGAGTTGTTCTTCGACAAAGACACAATTGTTCACATTGAACAAAAGAACAGCAACTTCTGCTGCCACGTTTACAAGCTCAGGACCACCAGAAAATAGGTGGTGGAAAACTCTCAAGATTTTGTAATCTTTGTTGAAAAGCTGCACAGTTTTTAAAGAGACTTATGTTTGGAACTGCATGCTCCATTTTGAGTCAATTCCTCCTAATCTTTTGTCTTTTTAATTGACACGAATTCTATAATTAAAATGCCTTTTTTTCTGTTGGTTGCTCTGGTTTCTCCTGTTTTCTGCTATTTTGAAATTGTGTTTTGATGTGATGCGTGGACACAGTGCTGCCTGATATTTTGGGAATTCTTAATTCCAAATATGTTATCAATTCCTCCTAAAAAATGGATTTCAAGCTAAGTAGAACATCAGACACAAATACTGCATCGATGTGGTGCTAAAGCTAATCTGTGGAAGGGCTAACGAGATTAGGAAGCCTGTTTAATGAAAAGTTAGATGATTTAATGACTGATGTTTACAACACTGCTGTGGAATTGTTTCAAGGGATAAAGTGTTGTTGACTCCTCTTTATTTTGGCCACAGCTCTTTAAAAAGTCAGGACATAAGATAATGCTTTGCAACTTTTCAGAAAGTTTGATGTTTTTGGGGTCAAATCTGTGCAGTAATGTTGCAAACAATAAGAGTTCACAAACCTTACAGCACCACTGTATTTTAAATTTTACATTGCATACTTTTTAAGGCCTTCTCATTGTAGACTCGACTGTGAAGAGCAACCTGGAGTTTTTTCGAGAGGACACAACCTTGTGTATTCAAGGAGTTTGCAAAGTAAAAACAGTTTTCATTGCCAGCTTCTTTCTTTGATGACTTCTGTCTTTAAGCACAGCTCACGTGGTTTCAGGTGGTAACTCGCTTTAGTATAATTTGTGTTCTGCAGTTGCTAAAGTAAACAGACTGCAGCACACTCCCCCAGGGGACCCCTATGGCCCATCCAAGAGGGTTCAGAGCCACCTTTTGTTTTTTCTTTCCCCCTAATTCTTTTGTTACACTTACAGCATATTAGTCACTTGGACGAGAGGCAAAACATCTTCTAAAAAACCTCACGTCCATTTTCCTAACTGAGCTTTCTAAGGCAGACTGCAGGCGATCAGACATTCACAGTCCTTAACACAGTGTTTTCGGTTCACTGGCTGAAGTGCCCTCACGCACACTCAATGTGGTGATAAGTGGCACAAAGAATTCTTGCTGCCAACTCCAAACATGTTCACAGTGGATCCTGATAAGTCTTGAATATGGTGGTTTGATTACCAAAAAGTCAGTTGAAATGAGAGGAAATGCATTACATATGGCAGGTTTTGAAATATCACACAATGCCCTGAGCTGAACAGTTAGAGTAAATAAAGTTGAGCTTTTGTTGTTCAATTGAGTTTAGACACCCTGAAAATGTCGTTTCAGTGTTAAATATTTCATGGATAGATGTTGTACTAAGAGCTGAGGAATACTTATTAGGCTTACGCTTTTGTATAAAAGACAAAACAAAAGACAAGCAGCCAGACAAAGACGTCGGATGGGTGAAGGAATGCTATTTATATGGATGGGACGGGGGTTGGGGAATTAGAAGCAGCTTCCGGTATAAACATTTCAAAGAAACGCAGCAAACGACTCGTTTAATCAACATCTCTCAAATTCCAGTGACCCATTCCCTTGAAATTTCCAACTGCGTTTTTAGTTGACAGTCAGGTGAGAGGATGACACGGCAAAAAAACATATTTGCTTTTTCCAAACTCTTCTGTAACCACCAAAGTTACAAAACAGCGCTCCTGCAGAGCGTTGCGTAGCGCCGGGTCACGTGACCGCGGTCCGTCCCCCGTCGGGCTCCACTTGAAATAGTTGGAGTTGTATGAAAACAGCTGCTCCTGTCGCCTCTTCTCCGTCCCGCTGCCGCCGCCTCACAGATGGCCATGCAGAACCTGAGACAGTTCCTGTTCGCCCTCTCCGCGGCCGGAGCCGTGGGATTCGTCGCCATCATTTTCGTGCTAAGATGGGTTTTACACTTCAAGGAAGGCTTAGCCTGGGATGGAGGGCTGGCGGAGTTCAACTGGCATCCGGTGCTGATTGTCATCGGCTTCGTTTTCTTGCAAGGAATAGGTGAGACGGCGGTCGAGTACGAGCTTGGCGAAAGTAACAGACTGGGAGCTGGTATAAAGAATGTAAACAAGAAGGGGAAATGATTGAGAGAAGCCAAGTTAAACAAGTCTTTTTTTTTTTTTTTACAAGGATCTTGAGAGAGAGAGGGAGGGGGGTTCAAAGCAGGAAACGTGAGTCACATCAAGTGGCAAAAATTCTCTCCAGGAAACAAACTTGATCCATGGCATGCAGATTTCACATGGTTTAAAACCCTCATGAGTAAAAAAAAAAAAAAGCTGTTTAAAAAGAGCAGATCTTTTCATTATGTGATTACACCTTTCATAGAGTCCGGTCAGGCAGACGCACCTCTGTGAAGCAGTGTGATGACTCTACTGTTTCAGGATGATGAGGTCAGATTGCTGCTTCTGGTTAACACACAGTGTCTGATCCTCTCTGGCAGCCATCATCGTCTACAGGCTCCCTTGGACCTGGCAGTGCAGCAAACTAATGATGAAGTTCATCCACGCGGGCTTGAATTCAGCCGCATTCATTTTCGCTGTTGTTGCCTTGGTGGCAGCTTTCGACTTCCACAACACGGCCAAAATCCCAAACATGTACAGTCTGCACAGCTGGCTGGGCCTGCTGGCCGTCATACTGTACGGACTGCAGGTAAACACAAGGATTCTCCCCTTTCTTCAGGGTTTGACTGTGGTCATTTCTAAGGCTGTTATGCTTGAGTTTAGGTTTGAGTCATCTGTTTTTACACAGGTTTAGGCTGACTGAACTCATAAAAGTTATACATTCATAGCAGGACTCGTGTTTTTGTAGGCTTATGTTAGATTTTCAGCCTTATCTTGCGGACTCTAAAAATGCCAAGTCATGGTGAATGAAACCCTTGATGACTTTTTTGTTTTTTCTTCCTCCTTGAATGGGCAGCTTGTTATTGGAATTGGCATGTACCTGATACCGCTAACACCTGTGTCCTGGAGAGCAGCGTTCATGCCCATCCACGTCTACAGTGGTCTTTTTCTATTTACCAGTGTCATAGCTGTGGCACTTATGGGCATCACAGAGAAACTTATTTTTGGCCTGTAAGTATTAAACGGAAGGTTTAAATACATTTGATGAGTAAAATGTCAGTGATGTGAGACTATGAATAACTCTATTATTTGTGCACAACAAAGGAGCAACCCAAAGTATAAGGACTCTCCCCCTGAGGCGATCTTCGTGAACGTTCTGGGACTCCTCCTGGTGGTTTTTGGAGCACTCATCCTCTGGATTGCCACTCGAACACCTTGGAAACGCCCCAGTGACCAGATCCTGCATACTCTGCATACCAATGGGGGAAGTGAGGATATCACCAAAGCTGGCCCGGCTCTGTCTGAGCTGGCTGATGGGACCAACACTGAAGACGGAGATGTGAGGAGGAGAAGTAATAAACTTGACAACTTGGATGACTGATTTAAAAGAAGAGTGTGAATATTTGACTCAGAGCTGGTCCTCTCTCCTAGTAGTGAATGTATGAACAATCAATCTATTCGGGTCCGAGAAAGTTGAGAGGAATTAGTGAAATAATACTGATCTTTCATTCATAACTCTCTCTCTTGCACTTGCGCTTTATTGTTTTCTCCGACATTTATTGCAATAAGTGGATTCAAGTAATGTGACCTACTTGGCAGCAATATTAGGATGCAGATAAGAATAAATGCTTTGTGGACATACACTGTAGTAAATATTCATGACAGATTTTGTATTCTCTGATCTTCTATGTTTTGACTTTCCTAAAACATGTTTTATAATAAACCTTTTCTTATGTGCTCGTAAATTTGTAATATTCCTGGATCTGCTGCAAATGAGTGAAATATTCACAAAGTAGAACACATTTCAATATGAAGGTGCACCATAGCTGCAGATCTCCACATCAGTCCTTTGGATTTTTGGTTAATGTTTGCATAGGATGACCAGAGCTGGGTCATATTGTCATATATATCTGGGATGAATGGATGGATGGATGGATGGTTACTGCACAAAATTCACATTGTAGCATTTGCAATTAATGACATATTGAGGACTTTTGGAACATTGAATTAAGTCTTACATATTCACTTAAAAGGTTTATTATGTTACATGTATTAAATCAGATATGCCCAAGCAACTATTGTGTTCTACAATCTACGGTGGCATATTTTCTCCTGTAAAGTTCATATTACTGTAGAATTGTTATTAGAGACCAAATGGAATATTGTACGTCAAAGCCAGAACGTGCTCTAAATGTTTATCTTTCTTTCACTTTCTTTTATCACTTTATCTTTTCATCCATTTTACATGTAATCTAGTACTACTACTGATAAATGCAACTCTGAGTAAGCACTTAAGGTAAAGATTAGCTAAACATCCATCTTTATAGAAAAAGGTCTTGTAAGAAAATCCCTCTCCCTGAGGTTTCCCCATGTCGGGAGCGCGCACCAGCAATGCTGGAGAGGCAGATGAGTATTTGGAAAATGTATCATTGGACATTAAGCTCCCTTTTTATAAATGTTTAAAAATGTGTTTCACCATAAAGGTTATTTTGGTAGAAAGATCTGTTGCATCATGCACAAGCACTCAAGTGATTTCAAAGACGTTTGCTTTTCCTTTACGAAAGTTCACAGGAGGAACAGATTATTTCAGCATGACAATCCCAGTCAGAAAGATTCGGTTAAACCGAACCTTCGAGCTAAATGTTATTAATTAAAAAAACGTGTTGTTTAACAGACCATTGTGTGGGACTGTATTTTGCACGATACAGACACAGCCACGTCAAAGTTCAGTCACCCTTTTTGGCTCCTCTCGGTGTCGGTAGTTTGGTTGGCAGCCCGATTGTTTTGTGTTGTTTTCTGAGCTATTGGTGTCAGTTTGAAAACCTGCTACAAGGTTTGTTATTTACATTTAAATGAAATGATAACTGCACCACCCTACTGCTGTAATTGTTTACCTTTCTTTAATGTTTTTCAAACTTAACTTGTTCATGTTGGGGTCAACACAGGTTTAAGCGCGTGTCAGCGCTGCAACCGGTCAACTTTAGTGGCTAGCCGCTAGCTAAAAGCTTAATCATGACCCTTAGATGATGGATTGAATATTCCGACTTATATTTAAGATGGCATGTGAAATATAACATAAGCAAACACGCTACACAGAGTAGAACATTTGTCTTTAGTTACTGATATTATTATGGCTTATTAAAGTTTGTGGCTAATTATGAGGAACAAGGAAGGCTAACGTTAGCTGCTGCCGAGGCCGGGTAGATGTTTGCGTTTTTTATTATTTCACTGAGACGTGTGACAAGTGAGATTTGTGTCATAAGTACTTAAATGTGAACTGCTCGTGGATAACGTAACGGCCGTTAAAGTTAAGCGGTTGAACCAGATAACCACACTGATCTCGCAGGTACGATTGTAACAAATGCAGGGTGGGGCTCTGTTGGCTCCATGACAATGAGCGGTCATCCGGCAGAGCAGCAAAGACCTGCGACAAATGCTACTATTTCTATTTCTAATATATGTTATTTGCGGCCTTCTGTACTATAAATGAAAGGTTAAATTGTTGTTTACATTTTGTTAGGAGAAACATTAGTGAGAAAATGCGAGATCCTTAAATTTCTTGATTTTGTACCTGTTAAAACATGCTATTTGTTTATGCTACCTAAATGTGATGCTGTGTGGCCAGTATTGGACGGTAGCTTAAAAAAGATAATTTGCACAATTAAATAGTGGGGGGCTATGTTTATGTTACTCTTAAGAAGATAAAGTAAATGACAAAATACTGCAGCAAGTGCAACTGAAATCCAGATCAGATTAGAAAAAAAAGTCATTAAAAGTTTTTAATTTGGTAGATTGATCTCACCCGGCTGTATGCACATCAGAAAACAGTAACAATTAGATAAATTTACCAGAGAAATGGGTCTGGGCAGCTTTTGTGTTTGTTTGATTGTTTCATCTGTAAATTGGTCCTGAAGCTGAGAAGGCTGCTAGGATGCTGGTCCTTGTTAACACGCGTAGTCTGTCTTCAAATTAACCATATTTTCCATGTAGTTGATTGTGTATCGAAAAAACAATGAAAAATGTATTTTCTGAAAACAGCCGCGGCATCATGTCTGACAAAAGTGAGCTGAAGGCTGAGCTTGAAAGAAAGAAGCAGCGCTTAGCTCAAATCAGAGAGGAGAAAAGAAGGAAGGAGGAAGAGCGCAAGAAGGTAAGTTTTTAATTTTGTAAAGATTATTTTTAATCCTTTTAAAATCATTTCATTTAAAGTGAGTATATTTAATTGCTATTTATCCAATCATTATCCTGGCATATTACTCGCATATTAGCTGTGACACCTGTGGCACATAAAGTACATTTAATGCAAATGAGACAGATCATTCATATTCAGTTTAGTGATTTATATGGGAAAGTCCATAACTCTCTCTCAGAGGTGGCTCTGTAAAAACTTTTTACGAGATGAGTGGAATTCTGTGCACATCATCTGAGAGATGATATCTATAGACTGAATTAATGCGTGGCGCTCTGGTTTGCTAGGCGGACCAACAGCTGAAAGAAGTCGCACTCCAGCAGGATGACTCTGACCTGGAGAAAAAAAGACGAGAAGCCGAGGCTCTTCTGCAGAGTGTGGGCATAACCACGGACGCCGCCGTGGGTACGTTTCATATCAGCAGTGGGTGGTTTGGGCAGTATGTTGGTGTCTTCATGTCTGCTTTTGAGTCACTCCATTAGGGAAATGTATGCAGTCCCAAAGGGTTAAATATTGATTCAAATCTGCTCTGTGAATTCTTTAAATATGTGTTTTTTGCAGCAGGACTACATAAGTGTTTAATAAGCTTTTTTCCCATCTTGCTTCAATTTCTGTATTTGCATTAAAAACAGTAACATTCTTTTTCTTTTTAGTGACTTTGATTCCTGAGGGTTAACATTTTAATATTGAGCAGAGAGATTTATTTAATGTTTCACGTCGGTTGGTTTATGGTCAAATACTCATTGTCAAAAGTCCCCTTTCATGACAATTTTGATCAGGTGATTTTAGTTAAGAAGAACTTTCTTTGTATATTTATGGAAGACCAGAAGACAAAAACTTTTTTTCCTTTTGTTTCACATCCAATGCTTTGTACTGAAGAGTCTAAACAATTAAAACGTGTCGTCATTTGTTTTACATTTGATATTTATGTACCGACTTTATGACTTTATCTACCGAGTTACTTTTATACAGTAGGTTAGTGAGTGTAATGAGGCAGAGAATATTTTCAAAAGTCTGCATCGTGTGATGAGGCGGTACTGAAGTGAAATACTTTCCTATAAAATAAAGACATTGTGAAGGGTTCTGCATTAGATTTTCCACTCTGAATTCAGAGCACTGTCCTATAGTGAACAGCAGGTGGCAGAAGAGATCCACAGCAGAAATCTGTTACAGCAGACAAACCTGTTGCAGAACCCAGAAAGCACAAAGATGATACATTTAGAAATATTCTAAGCCTGGTTTATTCTTACTGCTTGCGAGTTACATTGAATTGAGTCAGAATGTATCTTATATATGAAGAGTTTGGGTAATTGTTCTTTTACCACTTAGACTTGCTGTGTATGTGCCCAGTGGTGAAGCTTGCTGTCAGGAAACGTACTTTGTGAGATTTGATGGACAGAAGAGCACTGATACATTTCTGCTGCAGTGTTGTGAGCAGCTCAGCATTTACATTGTAACGGATGATTATTGTCTGTCTCTGTGCAGTCCCTCCTCCCACATCTCCCACTGCCAAATCGGCGGGGACGCCAAGTGAGGCAGGAAGCCAGGACTCTGATGGAGCTGTGGGACCCAGGTACACACACACACACACACACACACACACACACACACACACACACACA